AATAACTGTACATTGGATTAAATGTTTCAGATAAATACTTAAAGCAGCAAGTTGCATACACTGTTGCTGTCTGTCAGCAAGCACTTGCTCATTTTGAGCATATCATGAAACAGATAAGACTGACAGCTCATGGCAGCATTATTTTACTGCAAATTCATTCATGCTGCCCGACCCCTTCATCAGCATCTTCTCTTTCTCTCAGCATTGCCTGAAACCCTAATGCCGAGCCCAGACTTTCTATATAAAGAGGCCAACTCTTACCCCTGTGTCCTCCTCCCGTGGTTGCTGCCATTGCCTTTCTTTTTTAGCTCATTAACTTCCACTGTATACATCAGAGATCAGTTTTGTGTGTGGGTAAGTCCATGGTTTTCTTTCTGATCATTCCTTGTCTTGCCTTCTCTTTGTTTGCTTTACCTCTTCCTCCTATCTTATTCTTCTCTTCGACTTTCACTCTATACATATGCTGGGGTGATTTAAGTCCATGGTTTTCTACTTTCAGATCATTCGTTTCCTCTCTCTCTCTCTCTCTCTCTCTCTCTCTCTGTATGTGAGTGCAAAATCTTCCAATCGGACTGCGACCCGCAGTGAGCAGTCCGACCACCTTTTGCACAGATTAAGTGTGACAAGTGCTAGCCAAGTGCCTGACCTTTAGCTCTATTTGACATGTTGAGGGTCAGCAGTCCCTTGATCTGGGATTTCTTCCAAGCTAGCACATATAGCTTCAGTTCTATCAAAACAAAGTCTCTTTTTTCTTGCCTTTCATAGCATAGATCTTTGATATATACATATACATATAAATAGATTTTGTCGATTTCATTAGTGGTATAATCTCCTTGTTTCAAGGTTAAATTTATATTTTCTCGTATCTTTATAATTATTTTCGTATTTTAACCTTGCATAAGTTCAATTTTGTCCATCCACTCTCTCTCTCTCTCTCTCTCTCTCATCTCGGATTTATAAATAATAATAATAATAATAAATTAATAATTTATTATTCATAAGTTACATAATAATTTTTTTTTTCTTTTCGTTCGTCTTTGAATTCAAATCCATATCTTTACGGTAGTAAATATTCTATTAATAAAAAAAATAATAACATCTTTTTGATAGGGTCACAAGTCTCTTCCACCCAAGCTTCAGATCTATTACATAATAGTAAATTACTCTAAAAATAAATATAAAATAAAAATATATCAGCAACAAACCTCATAAAAATCATAAAGTTAATCGTCAATATTCATAAAATATAAACAAAGATCAATAATTTAATAAAAAAATATATCTATTCATCATAAAATTTATATATCAGAAAAATAATAATAATTTCTTACATAATAAATAAAATCATGCATCAGCTACATACAACACATACGTAATAACAAAGACGTACATCACCCGATGATGCACTCTCCCAACAGTAGATGGAGAGGCATATTTCATGGGATGGATTCCTCCCAACAGTGGATAGAGATAATTCATATCGCACTCCCAATAGCGAATGAAGTGGTATTTCTTACCCGCTCAAGTGGGGACACGTTCTTCCTAATAATGGATGGAGGAATCGTATAACCATCACGTCTAATGGCCTCCTAATCTTCGAAGGGAATCTCCATACATGCCCTCTGCAGGGATACAAAAACATCCATGATCATTCATTTACACTCATCCAATCACTCATGCGTACATCAAGAAATCAATATAATTAAATATTATGAGAGATCATACTTGATGTAAATCTGCTAGACTATGTTCAATGGTGGCTCCGCACCGTGACGGCCCGTAGCTCCTTTCACATGTTGCACTCCCAATGTGAACTATTAGTCTAGTCACATCTACTACATGATACTCATCATATCAAGATCATAAACATAAGAAAATAGAAAATCAATAATCATTTTCAAATGACATCTTTAGATAAAACCCTTTCATCAAATCATAAAGGCATGAAACATCAATCTCTCAATAATTCTCAATAAACCAAAACCCTAATTTGAATAGCTCAATTGACTTAAACTAAACTCAATTCAATTATGATCTAACGGAACCAACCTCAAATCCTTATAGAACCGATTTGGAATCACCATAGACTGTTCTAATTTAGATTTGATTGATCTCGATTAAATCAAATAGGTTTGAACTAGTCAACTTAGTTTGGAATCACCCTAAACCGGCTTTAACTGATCAAACCTATTTGATCTAATCAATTAATGAGCTCAAACCAATAGAGAGGGAGGAAATTGGACTATGTCGTATAGTGCTAATCCAAACTGAACCAACCCACCTGAGTCTTGGACGGGTCACATACACTGCATATACATATTCCACATACACTACATATGCTTATTCCAAGTACTAGGTTGAGTTGAGGTATGACGAGCTATATAAAAGGTGCGACGATATATCTAATGCCAATCGCGTAGTTGGGTAGGCTTAACTTCATGAACTAGGCTAAGCCTCACTTATAAGTTGGACTAAGTCTTGCCATTGAACTAGGCATTGCTTGGCTCACGAGTTGGTCCTAGACACATGAGTTGGGGTCATATCTAACCATATGGATTGGGTCATACCTAGCTGCATGAGCTAGCCAATGCCTGGCCACATAGTTGGGTCATACCTTACTACATGGGCTGGGTCATATATGATTACATGGACTAGATCATACCTAGCCATATGAGTTGGGTTATGTTTGGCCACATGGGTTGGATTGTACCTTGCTATATGGGCTGGCTCCTACCTGGCCACATAAGTTGGGTCATACTGAATCACATGGGCTAGATTGTACTTGGTCACATGAGCTAAGTCGTACATGACCACATGGGCTAAGTCGATTTGATCTAATCGATCAACTTGACTCAAGTCACACCCCAATTAGACTCTTATCAAATTAGATTTCAACATTTAAAATAATTAAAGAATGACTCAAATCCATTAATTAAAACTTTAAATTTATGATCTTAAATTTAAAATTAATTACATTATAGAAATTCACACATAATTCTTGAAATATAGACATATCTAATTAAATAAATTAGAACTACTATGTTAATCCAAAAATAAAAAAATTAATAATTAAATCAATATTAAAATTTATTTTAGCTCAAGAGATCGAGATAAATCAAATAATGATTATAACATCACAAATCAATTATCATTATTTACTACTCATGAAATTTCAAAAAGTAAAACATCATTATGCATCATAAAATAATAATAATCTCAATATC